AGAGAATAAAGCTGAATATTTATGATGTAGTCTCTAAAACCAACTTGTAAACAAAAGAAAGCTAAAAAAAATAATTTATCTAAATGGCACCAAACAGATATATTAAGCAAGATTTGTGTTGACTCAGAAAGCGTTTAGTCCTGAGAGAATAAATCGTAATAATTGAGTCGAGATTTGGAAGATAATGCATCAAAACTTCCCCAAGACGAAAGGAAATAACAATCGCTGTGAGAAAGGCAAGCAAAAAGTTGAAAAGAGGAAACGAAAATAAAAAGTCAAAAGAATATAGGAAAACGTATAGGAAAAATGGGAGAGAAATAAAGATATATAAGGAATGCGAAAGTAATAAAAGGGAAATTACTAAATACAATAGTCGATTATGAAATTAGTATACGAGGTGAAAAAAGAATAGAATGAATCACACAGCCGAGAAGTCTAACGGTAAATCATTTAAAAATCGAGTCGAGGCGAAGATGGCAAGAAGCGGCTGATTTGTGAGCCAGTGAGTCGGAGGGGAAACCAATGAATGTACTTATTCGACTGCCACGACTGAATAGCGATGAAGTGCCGTTAAATGGATCGGTGGACAGATGCTTGGGAGGGTGGAGTAGGAGATAAGCTAGCACGACCATCACTAGCAGGATGTCCACTGTCTGTGCCAGAAGAGTGAGTGGCTGTTGTCTGTCTGCTGCCGTCCGGCAGGCAAGTTGCCAGGCTAGACGGAGGGGGGACGGAACTGATCGGTGAGCAAGATGAGTCAGGCGTGTGCCGATTGGAGAAGATCCCATCTCCGTCCTCATTACAGCTAAACAGAAGAGGGAATAATTTAATATTAAACCTTTTTCCCTTAGTAATGAACATAAATATTTGGTATGTGGATGATCCTGCCAGTGACTAGGAAAATAGGTAATTATGCAAACATGAGGGTAAATGGTCAAGTGGCTGAGTAAGAAGATAAGAGATTAAATATGCAACTGAGAAAGTAGATAAGCAATAATTGGACATAAAATTTTCCGCTATAGTAGCTATAGGATGGGGGACAAAGAAAACGGTTCGAGAGGGGAGAATGGCGCTCAAACATCACAGCAATCTCTAATATCTCAAAATTATCTATTCAAGCATTGTTTTAGTGGATAAGTACAAAAATATTAAGTATAATTCAAGAAACGTTTATTAAGGTTAGAGGAACAAAGACTGTGCAGATATAATGACCATGATGGCGTGGCCCTTTGCTTGGTCGCAATCTCCTTTAGCTCTATAATATTGGGTTGACCTCGTTTTCGCAACTTGGTAGGGGTGACAGAGAAACCTTTTTGAAGGTACCTAGCCCTGTGTCCTTTGTCATAGTACCAAGTCAATCGTCCAATGCCGGAAATCATCATGAATACTAGGGCAGAGGACGCAGGACAAGGCAGGTTCCGTAAGGTCCTTCTATAGATCCGACCAAGTAGCGAAAATGAGGTAGAACCAACATAATAAAGAGTTTGATCTAGAAATTGTCATATCATATGGAAGCATATGGTAAAGCATAACATGAGAGATTTAGAAAGATGAACTGCGACAAGCACAGAATAAAACAGGATAAATCTACCTTCTCTCCTTCCTATGCCAGTTATTTACAGATTTTGTATTTCCTAAGGTGTTCTATTAATCATCAAAGGTTAAATAACTGAGCTAAGAAATTATGTTGCATAAAATAAGAAGCCGAACTTCCAGCGAGTGCCCCTTCACGTATTATAAGCTAAAAAACCCTAAGAGAATTAATTTAAAGTGCCTCATATAGTTGGAAATGAATCGTTAGCAATGAAATCGCCATTATAATCTAACCACAAATATCAAATAATAAAAGAGATATTCGGAAAATACGGATAATGTAAGTGAAGCTCTCAAAACTCAGAATAATAAAAAATCGCTGTTTGCATAAACAAATTTTGGGGCTAAATATTACAATAATTATAGCTTGTTTAGGAGTTTTCACTCAATACATACTGCAGCTTCACCTTAATAAAACAGATCTGATTCCAAGGAATAAATAAAAGACAAT